ACAAGGATCTATTGGCAGAAATAGAATATAATATTCATAAATAGTTTTTCATTAGTGTCAACCTTAAGCTTAGAATGAGCCATTTTTTATCTACGGAGGACTGGGTCTGTTTCTACAGAGTCCACCATGTTTCTACAGTAGCTCAGAACAGACAAACACTGGCTCTAGACAGGGCCTTTTGCATTTTTCGGGAGTTTCACAGCCACCATAGTTTCTCTTTCGTGCATAGTTGAGTCAAGGGGTTTCAGTTGGTTGCAGTCTGCCCTCTCACTGCTAGATGCCATAACACACTGGTCCTTTAACCCTCAAAGGTCAGCTACAAGGAACTTTCATTATGTGTTGATTCTGCTGGCCCCTGTAGACAAAAGTGGTAGTGTTTCCACCGACTTGCTTAATCTGATTTCAAATAGGGATTTCAAGCTGAGGTCATATAGAGGCATCAATATTAAACTGAGATTGTTTCATAACCAGTTAAAAACTCCTTACAGTATATTCAAACAACAAGTTGTACCAGAGGTCTATTTCCTAGGAATTGTTATGCAGATGATATTCAACTATACCGTATAAGTAAACTAGCATATATCATTGAAATTTCTGCTGTTCTGATGTTCTTGGCATTGGATTACTTTTTTATTTAAGCATTAGTTCAGCAGTCACTTTGTATTCTACAGTAACGTTGAGACATATTGAACTTTAGCCAACACCAAGCCACTACAAGAAACACAAAATCGTATTTAGTCTAATCATTGAATATTTCCAAAATCAGACAGGAAAAACTGAAAAAAACTAAAGGCTGATATTTTCTCCCCTGCTTGCATATTCACTTTAAACAAGCCATGACTTAACTGCAGGTTGTTTTAAGACTGTAAAAAAGACCATAAACTGATTTTGAATTTTTATTTATAACCCACCAGGCTCTTCAAGGTAGTGCTCCAAGCTACACACATTTTTTGCATTGTTTTAAATCATATAGTAGTTCTCCATCTCTTTGAGACTGAAAACTGAAAAATATTCAAAGTGGCAGATAACCCTGTTTTCAGGATGTTATCTTGCATGTTTTCATCCTGACCTTAACTATTTTATTTTCATCCTATTATTAGTATTAGTATTATTTAATGTATATTGACCTATTTTGGTATTTTAACATGCACTTGTAATTTCAAAAGTGCCATGTGGATAAAGCTCAATATTATTACTATTATTTAGTGGTTCTAATATTAGTTGCACCAACAAAAGGGAGAGAGTGTCTCAGTCTGTAGGGACTTTGCTTTGGAACTGCAGGGAATTTCCCCAATAGGGGATTAATAAAGTATGTCTTCTTCTTAAAGAATGTGTTTCTGTGTGTTTAGTCTGTGTCTTTAATAGGAATAACTGGAATTGGAGAATGGATGATTTCTTAGCATCAACCCCTGCCCTGTAACCACTAAAAAATGTTATACAAAGGAATGTAAAACTCTGTAGGGATTGGTCTATTCTCTGGAATGTTGTTCATCAGGCCCATCAAAACACACACACACACACACACACACACACACTACCACCTCACCCAGCTGACCTTATTAGCGGAGGCAACACCCCACACAGCAGACTCACAAACACCTTTACACTATGGTATTTTGGGGTGAAGCAAAATTGTAAAAAAAAAAATTTTATATATTTATTTAGATATTTAGATATTTTGAGATTAAATTGTAACTACTTACATTCACCACCAATATACACAGAAAGCAGTGTTCGAATTACACCGCAGCTTCTGGGGTTGGGCTATTTTTCATGGGGTGGGAGGGTATTGTATACATGCACGTGCATACATGCTTCAATCCATACATAAAATTTTCACAAAATTGTGTTTATTAGACACAACCTGGAACTTGTTATGCACATTGACAAGTGCTTTACTATCACCCTATTCTTTTTTTCAGGAACCTAAATATAAAGGAAAATATAAATTTATACAGAAAAAAAAACAGTGTCACCAAGAATTAGGATATTTTAGAGCCTTCAACTTTCTTAAATGAGCCTTTCTAGGAGGCTTCTGCCTCTCTTAGGCTCCCCATAGCTCCCTCGTATTTCGAACGCTGCCTGAAAGTGACTCAAATTCTATAGGGGCCAGGAATGAAAATGTATTGTAGAAATGTTTTAATGGATGCGCTATTTTATACAGATTTCCTCGTAATTCAGTCGGACTTACAGTATTATGATAACTTCGAAGCATAACTTTGGGATATTTGGTCATTGATTCAAATGCTTACATATGATGGAAATCAAAGTTATTTTTCAGCCTCCCTCAACATGCATGTAAGGTGTGTTTAGCCAAAGTACTCAACCCCCAGCAGTACTCTGTGATCCTGTGATCAACAGTAGAAAAATGTGGTTGAACTGGCCTGCTCCCAGCTGACTGACAGAAAATGCCAATCTTCCCAGATATCCTTTGAGGTGAAATATAATGACGTTAACACAGCCAAACACAACAGGTTTTTCCATTCTTAATAGAATAATATGTGCCATGTTCACAAAGGAAATGCCACCAAAAGGAAAAAAACACAACCTAATTTGGCACAAATCACTGTGTTGTACGCTATTTGGATAGCCAAAATCATTCACCACCTCCTAGCAGCCTGTTGTCAACCATTTGTCAAGTGATTTGTTGGTATCTATTTCCATAATGTTTGTTTACAACACCACATTAAACAATTGTTTAAAAAGAGCAAAACCAAATCTGTCTTTTAAGGTCCAGTGTGTAACAATTAAGAGGATTCATTGGAAAAAAATAAAATATAATATTCATATGTTTTTATTAGTGTATAATCAGCTGAAAAAAACGATTGTTGTGTTTTTGTTAACTTAAAATGAGCTGATTTTACCTACAGAGTCTGCCATGTTGAAACCGCCA